GAGGAGCGGCAGCGGGAGTCGGGGAGCCAGTATCTCCAAGCAGCTTAGAGTTGGCCTTATTTACCTCAGCTTGGGCGCTGGTCCTTTGTTCCGGCCCCTCCCCTCCAAAATGTGCCTATTGCTAGAGCTCCTCCCTCTCAACACCCAGTTCCTTGGGAGTTGTCATTAAGGAAAAAAAGAAAAAAAAAAAAGCCAGTGCCCAGGGATGGGCGTCTCCAGGGAGCTGGGGATTAGCACCAGGCAGCTCATTGCCAGCCATGCCCACTTCCCCACGGGCACCAGAACAAGCCAAAGCCTTCGTTGTATGTTGACGATGCACTTTTATGAATGTAGTTTCTATCGCTGTTTTTAGCCTTTTCACATCATGTAATGTGAGGCCTTGTACTTGTTAATTTATATCTCAGATCATATTTGATGGTTTTTATATGTATATCACTTCTAGACTGTTACAGGTGACGGACGCCTCAAGAGAGCAGAAAACGAAAGCAGCTGTTTTGCAGGAAAGTGTTGCACGGTGCCAGTTGGGCCTGGGCCCATTTCCATCTTTTTCCCCCAGGGGTCTCTGTCAGGCACCCCCAGCCCAGCCCTGAGATAGTGAGCATGTGCTTCTCCCTCCACCTCCGCCTTTGCCCAGAGTGGGGACTGGCCCTACATCTTGACCAAAGCTGCCTAGTGGCAGCTCGGCCTCTCCATGACCCCGTCTGATGGCTCCACATACTTCTTGGGCCCACACCCCTGTCCTGTCCCCATTCCCTGAGAGGAAAGCATGCGGTGCTGGAGCTGACAAGATGAGACGACTCTGTCCCAGGTTCAGGCTCTCACAGAGCCCCACCCCCCTGGGGTTTTACCTCACAGGGAACGTTTTTTTTAAAAAATGAATTTGCAAACAAGCGAACACACGCTGCACTCCAAAAAAAAAAAAAAAAAAAAAAACCCGTTTTTTTTTTTTTTTTTGTGCCAAAAACTGTGGACATGCTGGCTCAGCATCCTCAGGACCAAGCTGTTGCTTAATTTTAATTTATTTTTTAATTAAATAATCCAGATGAAAACTTGTGGGCTTATAGTGGCCTTGGCCCCAAGGTTCTGAAGGGCAGCCTCCTAGCAGCCCCAGGCTTGCTATGGTAAGGGCCATGCGCCATTTGCTCATCATTCTGTGGGGTATGTTGGCCTTGGCCAACCCAACAGAGATCAGGGCTGGGGACCGTCCGCATTCCACCGCCCTCCTGCCCCTTTTGCCCACCTCAGCTCTGTGTGTCTGAATTGTGGATCGTGCAGAAGAACCTGCAGCCGTAGTTATTTGACTATATCTTGACCGAGGGCTTGCAGTGCAAAGCCAGGCCAGTGTCGCGCATTACTTACAATAAAAGGGATCATTTATACAGGAGGGGTCCTGTGGCAATGCTTTTGGTTGGGGTCACATAGAGGTAGTAGGTGTTTGCTTGGAAGAGGCAAGGTAAGGTGCCTGGCCACAAGCTTGGGTCCCTCAATAAAGAACTTAAAATGACTCCGGAGGGGTCCTGGGATGGGATGATTTGGCCAGTACCACAGCTAGCTCAGAGGTGGTACCCCTTCTCCTTGTTCCCAGGAGCTCTGCTGAGGGTAATCCTATCAGGGCTGATTTACCAATGTGGCGCTGTTGGTATCACCAGTGGCTGGGTTCCCAGCACTTTTGTGACATCTAATAGAGTTGGCTAGCCCGGACAACTCCCTTTAGTCCCATCTTTTCGGGGCAGATCAGGTGCCTCCAGGAGCCATCTCTCTGGTATCCCTTCCTGTTGCTTAGCTCTGAGCAGAGACCATCCTTGTCCCTATCTGAAGCTTTGGTATAGAAGTTGGGCCTGCCCTGAGCAAGGCTCACGCCGAGGACCCACTCGCTTACCGAGTCTTGGCACTGCTTCTTCAAGGGACAAGTTGTCTCCCTCAGGACAGTGGCCCATCTACCCTACATCTGAGGGTAGATGGGCCACTGTCCTGAGGGAGACAACTGAGGCCTAGTTCCCTACTCTGTCCTATGGGTACTAAGACAGGAATTTAAGTTGTATGGGGTAGTGGCAGCAGATCTTCCATTTGTTCTCTTGCTCCAACTTAAGCAGCTCATGGGAAATTTGGGGAAATCAGGGCATTGGGTGTGGGGCAGGTCAACCCAGACTTCCTGCCTGTGTTTTGCAGGGTCTCAGGTCCTCCAGACTTGCCTTGTTTGTTGTCCCTCAGAGAAGCGGATGAGCTGTTTCTCCTAGAACTACCTAGACCATAGCTGCCCCACTCACTGGAGCTTAAAAAGGGGTGAGGTGACAGATGGGGAAAAAAATAAGACTAGGAAAACTTGACAGCACTCGCTGGATCTGCTGATTCCCTTTACTGATTTCCAGGGCAAAAGGGGCCCAGACAAGGACTCAGCAGAAGGGTTCTGCCTTGTACCCCAATATAACGAAGTTCAGTGAGGCCCGGCACCATTACCCATTGACGGCCTGGCCCTCTTTTAGCCAACATAAGGTGGAGGGACAAAGGAGTTTCAGTTATAAAACATTCTGGGTTTGATAGCATCGAGACCTGGCTGGGAAGGACATACCCTTTTCTGACGCCTATCACCATCACATCAAGGTCAGGAGTGCTCTGGGCTGACCCTGTACCCCTTCTTCACCTCTGCATGATGAGTCTGTGTCCTTCCTGCCGCAGAGCCCCCCATTAGGCCACATAATACAGAGTCAGGATCTCTTGAAACATGTTTAAAACGGGGTTGATCACAACAGTCAGAACCGGCAGAAACTGAAGAGGAGGGGAGTGTGGCCGCTGCCAGATCACCGCTAGTCTCTGTGGCTCTCAGCCTCGCAGTTTTAGCTTCTGCTTCTTGATGCCGGTGGGGCGAGATGGTCCCAAGCCCCACTGGGGCATGCCCTGCCTTGCCTTGCAGGGCTGCTCCACTTCCTCTCCCCTCCCCCACTGAGCCCTGGTGGGCATGCCGAGGCCCAGCAGGGGCACTCTGGCTCTCCATCCTCCCAAGTCTCCATGGCTCAGAATCAGGCTAAGGGCAGAGGTAGATGGGGAGACATGGGGGCCACACAGGGCCCCCGGATGGCAGTGAGGGGGCTTAGGACCCTGAGGGGGGCATGCTGACTCCTTGCTGGAGAAAAGGCACCTAGATAGGGAAGCTGGACTTGGGGGCCTCCCAGGGGGCCATGGGGTGAGGCGTGATAGGCCGGAAGAAGCAGGAAGCAGGGTGGTGAGCAACCCCCAATCCTGGTTCCCAAATCTCCACCCACTGAGGAAGAATGAAGGAATCTTGGAACAGAGCTCTGCCCCCATAACCCTCTGCCTGAGCAAGATGGCCTCATCCCTTTCCCACCCTGCCCCCCCACCGGAGCCCAGGTCTAATCTCTTTCCCACCCTTCCCACCACCCTGCTCCAGGCCTCTACAGGGGGAGTGGAGGTCAGAGAGGTCTCAGGCTGTCTTGGTGCCAGGGTCCACCTCTTTGTGGGCCCAGAGCTCCTTGTGCTGCTTCCGGCCAAAGCCCTCATCATAGTTGCCTTTGCTCTTAAACAGCTGCTGAAAATGGGGTTTGCAGTAAAATTCCCCGTGCAGTGCCGCGTAGCTGCCCAGGCTGCAGAAGCAGAACAACTGTGGTTAGGTTGGGTCAGGGCTGGAAGGTGAGGGCAAGGTGAGGGCAGGGCAGGGCAAGGGCGCACCTTAGCTTGGTGTGGCAGTGCTTGCAGCAGAAGCAAGAGTTGTGGAAAATGAGCTTGTCTGCCACCAACCGCTCCATGGGGTACACAGTCTTCTGGCAGGCGGCACAACTCTCCTTCACCTGGGCCCGAAGGCTGAAGGACTGTTGTGGGTAAAGACTCAGCCAAGGACTTGATCAGCACCCATCCCTTTTTCCCCCCATGCCCACCTTCAGGGTCCTACCTTAGAGCGCTGAACAGTGCTGCTGCCACCACCGCCTTTGGCTTCCTGAGGGAGAGGGCCAGTTGGGGCAGGGTCAGTTGAGATGCCCCAGACCTTCGCTGCAGTCACCAGCCCAGATCCCAGGGGCACTTATGGGGTGGGGTGCAAAGAGTGGTAGACAATCACACCACTCCTCACCCCTTCATTCCCAGGCCAGACGCCTGTCCTGGGCGTCCTCCCACCCGGCTGATCACCTACATGAGAGGGGGTGGCTTGGGCGGCTCCTGCAGCCTGGAACATGGCTGGTTGGAAGTGATGGAGGCCCGGGTGGAGACGCGGCACCCGCTGGGTTCTGCAAGGGGAAGTCGGTTGGTCGGCCCCGCAAGCCCTTCCCCAGTCAGCAGGGTGGGGGTGGGGGTGGGGGTGTTTACAGGCAGGGGCCTTGGGGGGCTGTGGTTGGGACTTTCCCTAAGTCATTTCCTGTTGCTCTGGGTCTTGCCACTTCCGCCCCTCACCCATCTCCCCCTCCTCCCGCCCGCCCGCCCCCAGGCTGCTCCCCAAGGGGCAGGGGTCCCTGAGTGGA